TTTTGTGGCATGCGAGCTTTGTGGAGATAGGCATTCGAGTGATTGTTGTCCAACCTATTCTGAATCAATGCAATTCCGATGGAAGCTTCAATGGGCAGCAAAACAATTCATACTCCAACAATTACAACTCATGGTGGAATCACCCAAATTTTCATGGGAGTATGATCAGGATCTACTATTCATCACAATCTATTTTTCAGCATGATTTCCAGTCACAAGTTAGAGCCCCTATACTTGAGAAGAAGCTAACTTTGGAGGATATGCTGATACAGTTCATGACAAAGAATGATGCCATCATTCAAAGTCGAGCAGAATCAATCCAAAATCTTGAGACTCAATTAGGCCAACTTGTTAATTACATCAACAATAGGCCTCAAGAAATTTTACCAAAGGACATTGAGCCTAATCCTAGAAAAGAAGAATATGGTAAGCATCTTGATGAGATAAATGGCAAGAATGTGGTAGATGATGAAGATAAAGTAGATCAAGGTAACACTTCCACCAATCAAGTTCGAGATGAAAAAATTAAGCAAGAGGAGGAAGTATTACACCACCACAAGTCAAGCCATATGTGCTTCCTATTCCTTTCCTAGATACAGCTGCTAATTACCTAAAGTGGCTATTGATATGGAAAATCCAAAGAAATCCTTGAAGCTGTTTGGTTCAAGTGGCAACAACAAAGGACCAGAATGAAGAACTCACAAATGTTACACATGTCTTGAAGGCTACACCAAAAGTGCATTATCCAAGAAGAACTGAATTTGAGAAGTTAGGTAAAAGTCAGCCTATTCCACCATCTTGGGTTGAGCAAGCACCAAATCTTGAGTTAAAGCCACTACAACCTCATCTTAAGAGGAGACTACTTTCACACCTCAAGCTTTTTCCATGCAAACTCCAACCTCCTTAAAGGGTGAATGAAGACCTCAACCAAAGTCAAGCTAGTGACTATAAAGAAGCGCTTCTTGGGAGGCAACCCAAGATATTTTTTTTCTAAGTTTAAATGTTATTTTAGTAGTAGTTCTTGTTTTTTCTATTTAAATAAGTAGTTTTAATCTCTCCCTAGCTTGTTTTGCTGTGTATGCAGATTTGGAAAGCATGAAGATGAGGAGAAAGAAGATTAGAGCTTCAAGGAACTACCACCATTGATAGGGAAGTTTCTTTTCTTATTCTTTTAACTTTTCCATTGAGGACATGTGCAATTTAAGTTTGGGGGAAGGTTTTATTATTATTAGTTTTTTGTGATAGTTTAGGTTAATTTATTTTCATTATTTTTTCAACTAGATTTACTTGTGCCAGCTTCATTTAATTTACCTATCCAATGATGAGAAATCAGTTATATTCCTATCTTGATTCTTCAAAACACGTGAATATTGTTTGAGTGTTATGTAAATTCTCATGCTAAGCTTTGCCATTAGGTTGAAATTTCTACATTTTGAGCACTATGTCTTTTTCTTAGATTTATTGTATATATTTAGAAAAGGTTTATGTGAATGCAAATTTTTGAATTATATATTAGTTCTAGAATGTTTTGATTCTCTCTCGAGGCGAAATCCTAGGCTATACTTAGTTAAGGAATGATTTAGGCCATTGTTGGACCGATTGAGCCTTTTGTAGCCTTCCTTTACATAAATTATCCTCAGTTTCCCCCTTTAAGCCTAATGACATCTTTTCTTTGTTTGAACACTTAATTTTTAGCCTAGACCCTTATAATAATATTTGCAACAATTCTTGCATCCCTCATTCCTAAGTGCATAAGTCAATTTAGAATGTGTTATGAGCCACATAGTGAAAGAGGTAGTCAAAAAAAAAAAACGATGAAAAGTTCAAAAATATGATTGTACTCATCTCATTGCCCAATAAAAGAAATAAGTTTGGGGGTATGAAATTGAGAAAAAGAAAAAGGGAAAGAAAGAATGAAGTGTTGAACAAAAGAAAAACTTTGATGGAGAAGGGGTATACTAAGTGAAGGAAAATAAAGCTCTGAATGGCATCCAGATTGACTATGTGCTTAGGGTGATTTGAGCTATCATTATCCATATCCAACCTTAACCTTAGCCATACATTACAAGCTAATTAAAGTCCTATTGATCTTTAATATAGTGTTAGCCTACATTAGTGGAGAGAGGGATGAAAAGCAAACTTATGGAGTTATTTATATTTGAATTTTGCATGAATATAAATTTATCCAGATTGTACAATATTCTAAGTGAAGAGATGACACACACACACGGAATTTAACTTAATGATGAGTTTGCATTTGAATTGAGACATGAACTTGAATAATATTTATGTGTTGCCTAGAGTTATGAATATGGATTAACTATTGAGGATATTAAAAGTAATTAATGAAATGGTGCAATTGAAGTCTAATTAAATGTTTTCATGTTTACGTTATTGCATGTTGTTTTATGTTTTGCTCGAGGACTAGCAAAATCTTAAGTTTGGGGTGTGGAACTCTATTATATAGAGTTATTTTGACTCATTTTGGGAGCTTAAGTAGCTAGATCTTTGAGATTTTATGTTCGAATTTTAGCATTATAGGTGTTTTTTTTAGTTTAAGTTTGATTATTTGTTAAGTGATTAATTTAAGTTATTTTAGTTAAATTTTAGGTTATTTTATTTTAAATTAATTTAAGAGTAGTTATTGCTAATTTCTCCTATGGCTTTTGTAGGAAATTGATGAAAAAACTCATTTGATGAAAATCAGTGCAAGTATGGTGATAGCTCATTCGTATATGTTTCAATATTTTAACCATATCTCTTTCTAAAAAAACTCCAAATGAGGTGATTCTTTGACCAATCAAATTATAAGAAGAAGGGAAACAATTTTCATGTTCACCAATTGGCCCAGTTATGATTGGATCATGGTCAAAATATTTGTCAATTCGGACCACTGCGCAGGATGTTAAAGACTGAACAAGATGCAGTATTTGGAGCAAATCTTTCAATCCAGAAGTCAATTGATGTGATTTTTAATCCATTGGAAAGTTAAGAGACAGGGATAAAACTTTTATGTTTACTACTTTACCCAGTTCTTAACATATCAGGGTGAAACTCATGTTTGAAGTTGATAGACTGCCACAGCGCTGGGAGAACAAGGCTGCAGCGTTGATGAAAGGAAGCACACATACAAAATTCCAGAGAGCTCAGCGCTGCAGCGCTGGAGAAGTAGCGCCGCAGCGCTGCGTGACTTTCCTAAAAAAAACAAGGACATTAACGAAATTTCACAAATTAGGTTATTTGGAGCCTATTTAAGGAGACTTTTTCAGAGATTTTTGAGGCAGCAAGAGAGGCAGCAAAGGAGCAGCAAGAAACTATTCTGGAGATTTGGAGCCAAGAACAAAGCAAGGAACAAGAGAATTGGAGAGAGAATCAAGATCATACATCTCTAACTATTAGTTTTCTCTCTACCTTTGTGTTTTTTTTCTTATTTTCTTTGACTTGGATTCATGGCTAAATTCTTTGGATATTGTCTTTATTAGATATTATGAACTAATTTATTTTTCTAGGATTGCAATTGAACTCACATGTAATCTAGATTTTTAATCACTTTCTTGCTTATTTTCAATGGGATTTGAATTGTTTATTCCAATTTGTTCTTAATGCTTTTAATTGCATGGCCACCAATTAAATTGATCTAGAACCTAAACAAACTTGGGAAATGGAGTTTAGTGTAGACTAAAATTGGGATAGCATATGATCATATTAATTGATTTGCGTAAGGATAGGGATATACCTATAGGCCATATGTAGCCAATTAGAGCCTGAACTTAATGAGTTTGTTTTAATTTCAATTCACATAGGGATATAGTGTTTTGGTTAAAATAGATATTTTATAAGATGAGTTGGGGACCCTTATAAATAATTTAGGACTCTAGGTTAGCAATTCAAACCATTGAGATAAGTTAAGGAAGAGAGGTAAGATTTAGATGAAGTGTGGAGGGATTTGTAATCCTAGGCTTGTTTGATTTGATATTTATTTGAGTATTATTATTTTGATTTTTCTTAATTTAATTCTGCTATAACTTAGTTTGATTTGATATATTTTGATATTGTGTTGTGATAAGATTAATTTGCAATATTTAATACTTAGTAAACTTTTAGATCAATTCCCTGCGGGATCGATACTCTACTTGCTAATAACTATCTATTCGATACGTATACTTGCGTGGTAGAATTTTAACTGACACTTGTTAAAAGAAATAAAGTAGTTTAGGTTTTTTTTTTGTATTTTTTATTTATCGTCTTCTACCTCCAAATGGGTTTGCCTAATTCCAATTTGAACCTATTTCATAAACTCGATCATATCTTGGTCTCTAAGACCCCATTTTCAACGTTTCAAAAGCCATTTTTTCTCATAGTTCAATTTCCTTTAGCTTTCCAACATCATTTTATTAAAAATTTGACTACACAATTTCAAGTTTATAAAACAGAACTTTAAGCCATTTTTGCACACAAAAACAAAAACTCAAACACATTAAGACAAAAGTTGAAACGACTCTGATACTAACTAAAAGACATCATAAATGCCTACACATATACACATTAACAAAATTAACATACAAAAAAATTGAAATGTGAAATTGGATACTAACCTCCAGCTATTGATATCACAAGAATGAGCTTCTCTCTATATAAAGGCACTTCTAAACTCTAGCAATCTCATTTAGATAGCTTGTATTTAAATAGCATTGAGCTTAGGGACCCGTATATGATTTATATATATATATATATATATATATGTCGTCTTCCAATCAAAACCGTAACCAAAATAAAGAAAGTGGACATGTCAAAGTAGTTAATAAAAGGTTAGTAGAGAGTGGGTGATATAAGGACCATGATATTATGTGGGTAACTAATATTTCTTACTCCCTCTAAATACTTTCTTTCATAATTGTTCTTTAAAGTTATATTTCTTTCATAACAGTAGAGAAATGCTAAAATAAAAAAGCGATTTGTTGAAGGAATTACAAACTAATATGACCCAAAATGAAGGAAAATTTTGGAGTAAAAAGAAATATAAAAATTCACTTGTAACAACAATTATTTGACTGTTTAGTGGCAGTCACCTCATCATTAATAGTGAGTATTTGTTTTCCACCATGAAGTGTTGTTTCATTTGTTTTAGCTTCTAAACATTTTTGGCTTGTGATTTCATGGATTTTGGTGATCATTCTTAAAAATGCTTCCTCTACATTCACATTTTCCAATGCAGAGGTTTCCATGAAAAACAAACCTTCCATCTCTGCTAGGTTTCTCCCTTCTTCCTCACTTACTTCCCTACGCTGATCACCCAAATCTGATTTATTCCCAACAAGAACCACCACCATATCCAAGTTACCGAATTCTCTTAGCTCATGCATCCATTTCTTCACATTTCTGAACGTTGTTCTCCTGCTTATGTCATACACTAACAATGCCCCCAATGCTCCACGATAGTATGAACTTGTAATGGCTCTAAACCTATCACCAAAATGGCATTTATGTAAGTATATAAGTAAAATACTGAAGAATAATCCTTGTGATAATATATGAAATGAATGATTTTATTCTAGGTAATACTCTTATATTATGTTTATTAGTGACCATATTTCATAGAAGAAGAAGCCAATAGCCAAATTTATAATACAAATATAAAGATGATTTCTTTTGGGAAGTTATGTATTAATTATTCATTATTATCATTATAATAATTAATGAAAACTTTATTTATTTGACCTCTATCTTTAGATGTTTATTTAAAATCAAGAAATTTTTTTAAGAAAAATTTGCTATTACTCCACACATATGTAAACTTAAGTTTAATAAATATATGATCTTACTCAAGTACATGTAGCTAGTGATTCCCATTGTTGACATTTCACAAATGGCAATTAATCTATACAATTCTCAGTTTTGGGAGATTAAGTTGGTAATGGTGAGTTGAATTTGGATAGTTGGTTGGTGAGTTCATGGTTTTGTTAGTATTTTGGGTCCAAGTAACAAATCAAGATAGCTTTTATCAATCATAATTAAGCTATATAATATTACATTTTCAACTTCTAACATGTCTCAAATTTTAATTTTGCTATAATATATAAATAAGCCCCTAAACTATTTACGAAAATTTAAATAAACCTTTATATTTTTATTGCGTTCAATCAAGCCTTTATATTGCTATTTTGAAAATAAACCTTTATACTTTTATTTCGAGTCAAACAAATACTTATAACTAATGATTGATTTAATCAAAATGCTATTTGTTATTTTATATCACGTGACGTTAATTTGAAATACTAAAATATTATAATTGATAATGATATGACAAGCTAATATATCATAATTGATGATGATATGACATGCAAATTTGACACGATAACATGACCATGTGACATTTTTCTCCCTCCACATCAATACCATGTCAATTCTATGTAGATATAAAATAAGGGTTTATTTGACATGAAATATTCTTGAATAGTTTAGGGACTTATTTGAACATAATGCCTTTAATTTTTGATATCATTTTTCAAAAATAATTAAATCATATAAAATGAAAAAAAGTGAATTAAGTCACTTACTATTTTTAAATTATTTTATATAAAAAAATTAACATCTTGGTTAAAAAAATATTAATAATTTTTTATTGATTGATATTTTCATTGCTTTGATTACTAGTGGTGATTCACCTTAATTATGATTATGGCTTACAATGTACAAATCCAACCATAAATCCAAAAGGGCTGTTAATTAGTTCTCAAATATTAGAATTTTTTTGAGAGATAAAAACTAAATAACTATTTGAAAATTTTAATATATATAATGTTTATTTCTCTCTTCACCTAATTTTAAAAATTAAGAGTTATTATATGAAATTTAAATGATATGTAAAAAAAAAATTTCCATGTGACATGAAAAAACATTTTCTAATCTAGGGCTCTTCCAATTGTATTTGAAGTCATTATCTTCTATAAGTATCTAATATATCAATTTAAGGTGAAATAAAATAAATGTTTAAAAATAGGTGCACAACTAATTTTATTGAATTATTGTCAATTAATTTTCTAGTTTAGGAATTAATTTTTCCTTTAAATTTTGTTATCATCTATTCTAATTATTTATTTTATTATTTCATAAGAGTGAAAAAAAAGAAGAAAAATTAAAAAACAAACTTTATATATTAATCATAATTGAAGAAAATGAATTTAATTATAATAATAGAACTTTTTGTACTTCTTTTACTCATAATTAAGAAAGATAATCATAAAAAATTTAACAGTAAAGCAAAGAAATTTTAAGAGATAATTTAAAGTCATTAAATATTAGAAGACTAATAGTTTGCGTTGTATCCACTATTTTTTATAAAATTAATATTTTAAAATATAAAATTACACTCAAATTTAATTTTGTTTCACTTCGGATTAGATTTTCGAACGGTTTGAGTTCAAGTTGTTGGTTTTTTATCAAATCGGATTAGGTCAAGTTTGAGTTGTTAACTTTTTATCACATTGAATTGAGTTTCACAGATTTTTTTCTGTTCGGTTCAACTTTGACAATTCTATGTTGGACTATTCTTTTTATTTGGATTCAAACACTTCAGGAGATAAATAAATAAGTATAATGACTTATAGTTAGTGACTTTTTTTACTATAAATAAAATTACTAAAGTACAACATTATATTCCTCATCTATTTCAAGTTATAATAATAATAAAAAAAGGCCTATATGTATCATTATTAAAATATACAATTGTTTGCCATAAATATTATTATTTACCTATAAATCAAATGGTAACCATTTCTAGAGTCTCTTTTCATGAACATGATAAAGTACAAAAAAGTCTTGTAAATGCCATTGATCCAAGAATGTTTCCTAACCAAGAGTTTTTTTTTATAAAGTAAAAATTGGGTTGATTGATTGCTCAAAAAAATTCAAGATTGGATAACACCAAGACAGGCTATCGAAAAAGATTAAACCCAAAATCATTTCCTTAACAAAGTACAAAAATTATCTTACACTTCAAGAATGTTTCCTAACCAAGAGTTTTTTTTTTTTGTCAAAAAAAATGGGCTAATTGGTTGCTCTAAAAATTCAAAGATTATTTCTCTCTCACTAAATAGCACTAAGACAAATTACCAATAAAAATTGACTTTAAACCAAACTATTTTGGATACAACTTGTTAACACAATATTCAAATGATATGCAGTTAAGCCGGTTAGATTGTGTCAACATGTTTAAGATAAAACAATTATATGATTTGATGGTTAAACTTGCTTAACCAATTTAAGACCCATTTACTAAATCAAGTTACCGTGTTGACTTGTATAATTTGACCTATATAATTAGTTTATGAACTCGTTTAATATAAGTACTTAAAAGATTATTTTAATCTTCTTAAAATTATTTTGAACAATTAATTTTAGAGGTATTTTCTTAATTTTGTAAGGGTAATAAGAAAACTACCTAAGAAAACCCTATTTTCTTGATTTTCAAAAAATGACCTCCAAAATCAAAAAAAAAAATCAAAGTTTCTTCTTCGATCTTATTTGGATTATGGATATAATTTGAGTTTTATTATGATTCTCTAATGTTGATGTTGACACTGATTTCTATTAAGTATTATGTTTATGTTGATATTGACGGATTTATTTGGAGATTTTCAACATGCTTGATAAAATATTATTATTTTGTCATAATTATTTTAAGATTATTAGGTTTAAATTTTTATAATGAAGTTATATGTGTTACAAACAGAAAAAAAGAACAAAATTTAAATCTTCTCATGTCATATAAAATGTAATTTGACGTATTTATTAAATATGTTAATCATGTCATGTTGTGTCATATAACACATTTAATAAACATATCTATATATATACTTAGATCTTAACATTAATGTAATTGTTAATACTCTGTATTTATGTAACATAATTAAGACACAAAAACATGAACTATTACTATGTCTACTTACTCTAAACAAACTCCTCAGTCAATGGCTATTTGACTTAGAGAAGTATTACCAAATACCAACCACCCTCCTAACAACAACGAAAAATGTCAAATCTTGATTTTAAAGTCCTCAAAAGTAGGGTTGTAGTGGGGTTAAATCTCATTTGGAATGGGTTAGGAAAGCTTGCCAAAGGGGAAAAAAATGTGTATGACCTTGCAACAACCAAAAAGAAATGGCCCATTTTGCCAATTGGATGCAACCACAAAAGTTTCTCATTCATCATTAACTTTGCTGGTTAGATGAAAGCAGGCTTTCAACTTGGTGACTCACAAGATCAATGGCAGAACAACTCAGAAGCGAGTTTCGTAGCTGACAGCAAGTTTGGATTTAGGCCAAAAACTCATCGACCCTTTTCCAGAATTCGCCACTGGATATAGAATTTTCATTCAGTTTAACTGATTTGGATTAAATTAGAGATAATTCTCCTACATAATTTTGGGTCCCACCAGCATTGAAAAATGCTTACTTCCACTATCTATAAACAATGCCTTTATTTTCCTTTCCCCCTGTTAAGATCAAAACCCTGCTACAGTTATTGATACTTACTGTTCATCAGGTTGCTGGAAAGATGTTCATGTGATTTGTCTAAAGTTAACTCATAAGTTCATGATCTACATGAAACGGAAGGTCTGAAAGAATTCTCATTTAGATTTTTCCCTAAGTAAAGAAAAAGTTAGGGAGTTGGTTTAACTGAGTCAGAGAGTTTAGACAGGTCCTGCTTTGGCTGAATTTCAGTGAGTTCAATCAATCAATCAACATTCATCTTCTTAAACAAGCTTATGATCATAGGCTTAATACAATAATAATTGACAAAGTTCAATAAGTAGTATTCTTCCTTTAAAACTTGTGCTTAATCCATCAAAAAGGGTCATCTCATATTTATATTAGCTAACTAGCTGATCTTACGGATTCATAGCTTCAGCAAGGATTCAAAGGATTTCAAGATGATTATGGTGGGGGAATAGTAAAGATGGTATTGTTAAAGAAGATGAGAGGGCTTTACCTTTCTTGGCCGGCGGTGTCCCAAATTTGAGCCTTGATGATTTTGTCACCAATCTTAACATTCCGGTAAGCGAATTCGACTCCTATAGTTGGCTTGGAATCCAATCGAAATTCATCTGTTGCAAACCTGGAGAGGAGATTTGATTTCCCGACCGCAGAATCGCCAATCAGAACAGCCTTAAACAGGTAATCACACTCTTCATCATATGAATCAGCCATGCAATCAGCAGAGGTCGATCACAAGAGAAAAGATCAAGAAAAAAGCTCTAAAAGAAAGCACAAAGCAAAGGATGCAGAAAAGAAACTCAAGAAGCCAAGATGTTTGAGAACAACTAATTAAGAAATGCCTAGTCGATGCATATGGCTACAAATCAAGTACGTCTATTACTTTGTCTGGTATTTGCTTTGGAGGGTATTGAGTGTTTACATGTGAAAACATAGAAAACAAAAGACATATGATTGGCTGTTCCTTGATTATCATTAACAATATAAACCAAGGAAGCCTTCCCTCTTTCCATAGTGGTAATCAATTTTCCCAAAGAAATTGATCTCATTAATTATTGGGCCTTAATGTCCCTCTTTGTGGCTCATGGTTATTGTATCAGGAGGCTAATTCTATATTCCAAAAAATTTGTTAAAGAAATGATGCTTAATCATTCCATATTTTCCTTTCTTTCTTTCGATCTTTGCCATTTTCCAATTTCCAGCTTCAATTTTAAGGTATTGGATGGTGATGATGGAAGCTCATTCGGTGACACCAACCCAAAGCTGTCCTCAATTCTATAAAGAAAATAAAACAAAATAAATTTTAAAAAAAATCAAATAGCAAATAAATCAACAAAAAAACCTAAATTCATACCTTCTTTGGTTAGAAGAACTTCCTTTGTTCTTAAGCAATTATTATGTTCATTAATTGATGGGTGAGTTGTACGATATAAACATGATGGGACCCTTAATTTTAATTTTCTTCAAAATTTTGGGTCCGGATTAGATTGCATGGAGAATAAAGATATGACAATAACCTTTCTATATATAAAAGAAAAAATAGTTAAAGATATTTGTATATGGTTTGGTAAAATAAAGAAAAAATTAAGGTTTCATTTGATTAATAGTTTTATTTTTTTTATTTTTATGTAAAAAATTAAAAATAATAAACAAATGTGAACTAAGAAAGGAACATAGGAAAGGGTAAATCTATTATAATGGAATGGGCAATGTAGGCTCAAATGCATAGACATTCACGGGACTGATTAAAACTAGAAGCCTGCAAAAGTCAAATAAAGAGATAGCCATGGGCAGCTCTAACTAGGTCATTGCTCTTTATTTAATTCATTGACAAGGAAAGCAAAATATTTTGACCAAAAAGGAAAAAAAAAAAAAGACAAAATGAATGAACATAGAGAAAAATTGGAAAACAATGATTGTCAGTTTTTTTAAGACAACATGCGTTAAAAACCTCTTATATTATTTACATATATTTAAATTAATTTTTATTTTTTTATTATATTTAATTAAATTTTTATATTTTTTATTTTAAAATAAATTAAATTTTTATAATTAACAATAATAATTGTTATCAATCAAAATATCACTTATTATTTTTATATTACGTGTCGTTAATATAAAAAATAAAAAATCTATTTGACTTAAAATAAAATTATAAATACTTGATTAAACGTAATAAAAAATAAAAATTTGTTAAATAATTTAAAAATTAATTTAGTTATTATGCTTATTTTTTGTTATTTATTTTTTCATTTACAGGAAATGAAATTTAAGGCTTTTATTTAATTTTTTTTATGCAGGGGTATAACGATGGGTAGAATATGCTATCACTTAAAACAAAAAACCTTTTGCCTTTCTTAGAATAAATTATAAAGAAATTGAATTCCTTTTATATGTTCAATTATTATTTATTTCTGCTGTCTTCTTTTCCGTTCTCTCCTTCATAATACACCAAACATAAAGCCAAAGCTGCATGCGTAATCCCGTGAATATTTTATTTTATATATATATGTATATATAAAGTGAATAAGTTATTTTTAACTCAGAATTTTCAATTGCTTGGAGTGAGTTCAAACGGGCGAACTCAACTGAGTTAACTTAAGGAACTGCCAACTCAGAACTATTAATTGGTCTCACACTTACTTTAAACAAAATGGAAGTGCAATTATGAGTAAAGCATCAAAACAAGATATTGATTCAACTTCATGTCTACAGCATTTTAGGCATACAATCATTATGGGAACGTGAACCCCTATCATCATCTACCTTTCCTCAATTTTTCTTTAATAATTTGAAAATAAGATGGTTGGATAGTTTTCAAGCAACTGTTAGAAAATTTTATTTCTAACCTTATTTTCAGAACAAAAGTGTGCATATCAAATGATGTATTACAAGCTTTTGATTTGCTTACTAACTAATAAGTTAATATAAATTTTATATTCATTTTGTGAATCAAAAATATTAACTTCACCCATCTCAAGTTGATAAAAATAACTATATACTTTCATGGTAGTCACAAAACATTGAACCTAGACTCCTAAATTAGTTTAATACTAATATTACGAATTTCATTTTAATTTGGGTTTATAAAGATTTTTTTTTTCACTTGATACTGGTATCAGAATTTATTCTAATCTTCACTAATATGAAGTCTTATGAGAGATATTAAAATTGTGATAGGCGTAAACAAAGGTAAATCTTTCTCTTCTATGAATGAAAGAGCTCATACAACAATAACATGACATAATTACGTAAAATAAAATATCATGAATCTTATATTAGTTAAAAATGAAATAGAGTAATCTAAATGAGTTTTGAGATTGTAAATAAATATCTTTCTCCACTTGATAAGCATGTTTTTTGAATTAAAAATATAAACTTGTAACATTAAGCCATTAAATTAAAAGGAAAAGATTTTCCTTTTACTTAAATGTATTTTGCCCAAACTACTTTAATTGGGCTTCAAGTTAAAACCCACAAATGTTCTACTGCGAAATTGTAGGGCTGATAAGCCCATATTCTATAGTTTAGGCCTTAAAAGGATAGCGAAAGGCAATAATTTATTGATATGATTATGCCATGGTATCTTATTAGTATTACAAACTAATTGAAAAAAGGATAACTTTAAAAGGCTCACATCACATGAGTCACATCCCCAGCCCTACCCTACGTTTGGTTGTTGAACAGTTTATGGTATAATCCCATTGTACAATAACTTTCTGTTGATGCTCCCACGAGCCGTAAGTAGCTACAAGCCAAAGGGCAAGCGTTTCATTAAGACCCAAAACAGAAACCCCATTACCAAAACTCTGAACCCTGCCAAAACTACACCAGCCAAGCCAAGCATTGATGAGATAGCATTGTTTTCTCCTTGAAGACGATGGGATTGTGGTAGAAGCAACAAGTCACGTCGGCCCCATTTGCCTTTGATATACTTGGATGCTGGACCACTCGCTGTCCGTGAACCATAAAACCCCTTTGATAGTCATGGAGTCACGGCTCCAGGACTACTCCGAAGCCAGACTCACTGCTGGTTGGTTCGTCTAAGCTCGTAGTTGTAGGTAGGTTGATTCTTTTAAGGCGAGGGAATTCAATATATTTTCTGAAAAATATCTATTATGGTTTTCTGTTAATTTTTGTTGCATGTCACTACCCCTTACTCATAAATATTATTAAATTCTAATAAAAGGTATTTCTTTTATTTTACTGAAAATGTTGTTAAATGATGGTAAAGGTTGATTTTATCTTGTGAGATAAATCTTAATTTTTAAATTATAATAAAGGGTATTTCGTATTTTGGTGAAAATATTATTAAATTATTCTAAAAGGAAATTTCATCTTTTGACATAATATTATTAAATTATAATAAAGGGTGTTTTTGGTATTTTGGTAAACATAAGATAATTTTCATAAATTAATGGATTTAATTCTATTGATTTGAAAATTTTTTACATCTATTTTTATACTTTTTCCCACTCAAATATAGAAAAATATTTTTGAAAAACATTTTTTGTTCTTTCCAAATAAAACATATAATAATAAAACATGCTTATAAGCAACCATTTTACTTAAGAAGGAAAAAATAAAACTAAAGCAACATTTTTATGAATGTGGTTATATTCTATTCTTTCAAAACATATATGGTGATATTTATTGTATATATTTCAAAACTCTTTTATTAAGATGTTTTTGACAATTTTACTAACATTTATTATAAATTTTGCTATATTGTTAGTTTTCCCAACTCTTTTAGTGACGTTTATGAAAAATTGTCACCTTGATATTCGTATAACACTTTGATGCAATCATCATAATTATTGAAACGTTTGTTTTGTCATTTTCGTAGTTATTGCTATTTCAAAACGTTTTTTGTTAAAAAAAAAGAAGAGGAGAAAATCTAAATTCATTGATATTAATTTGAACAATTTACAAATTATATTTCTTTGAAATTAATATAAATTAATCATTCGAATAAAATTAGTTGTAAATAAATTAATATGAATTTCAATATAACATTATTTTTCACATTTATTTATTAAGGTAGTGAAATTAAGATTAATTAAAAAAATATACATATTTGATTCAATGATAAGTGCATATATTATCTTTTTTAAGAGTTCATTTATTTTCCGTCCTAATAATAATTAAAGAAAAAACAATATAATGGGTAAGCTCAATCTGTGATAAAGGTAGATGTATTTTTGCTCAATCTAAGTGAAATTTTTGTGTCAAATAAATATTAATATAGTTACTTAACCTACTTAGCATATATATATATATATATATATATATATATATATAATCGGGCTTGGCTTTTGATGTGCTTAGTCTCAATTTTTAAATTTCTCATTAGTATGTAAGGGTGAGAAAAATCACACCGAATTGAAAAAATCAATTGAATGAAAATTAGTTCTGTTTTTCAATTTGGTTATAATGGTATTCAGGGAGTTTGGTGACTTTGGGATATTCAACCCAATAGACCAAACTAACCAAACTACTATATATTAAAAATGCAATATTATATATTTATTAGAATATTAAGGGTATAATAGAAATTTTATAGCTTTGGATTCTTTTCATGTTCATGTTTTCATGCTCATCAGAATGTAAATAGGTAAAGTACTCATTATTTTTTAGATTCTTGAACTTTAAAACATTAAATATCAAGTATTCAAATCTTATTAAAAAGCTGATTAAAATTACAAAATACTATCCAAAATCTAATTGTGGAACTCTGACTTTCAATATTGAGGTAAAATGGTAAATTCATAGTGAGTTTGCAAAATATTTTATTTAACCAAATATTGAATTAATTCTACTTGAAAAGTCCATATTTCTAAACTATTGAATTGTTTGAAAGAAAGAAGTGAAAAAAAAAAAAAGAATGGTATGATTTGAACTAAGAGCAAAATAGTCTTTTCCTTGATAAATATTCCTATAATCAAATTTCTAAATTTAATTTTCTAGAAAACCATCTTTTAAAGGGTTATAAAACATAGTTTGAAAGGAAAAATGAGAAAGAACACAAAATGAGCATTTTACTCCAACCAAACACACACTTAATGTTTTGTTTCATAATATAATCTGTTTTATTGAAAATGATGTTTTTATATGAAATTGAGATTCAACTATGAGATTTTCAAATGCTATGAATTATTTAGACTATAATCACTTATAAGAAATGTATAAGAAAATAATATACTATTTTGTGACATTTTCCATACATAAGGGAAGTTTATATTTGATATGTCCATTTGGATTTGACCAATGGGAGTTTGATCCGTTTGATTCATCGGTAGGAGTTTAGATGAAGTGTACTTATCTCCTCCAATCAAAAAATCAAGAACAAAAAAAAAAATAGATTTACCACGTGATTTTTTATACAACTTTTCTTTATAAAAATCACTTTTCTTTATACAACTTATATCAACAAACTACCACGTGATTGGCACATGATAGCAGAGATTTGAGAAGCACATGCAAGTG